CTCCTTTAAAAATATTTTTTCATACTGAATAGTTTCGTAGATATAAATACATTTTGAAAGTAAACAGAGCACTCCTGTAATGATTCTACAAATAGGTAACATATATTCTGTGTAAAATATATGCGCATTTACCTCCAGAACAATGATTTTGCAGACCATTTGAAATACATTTTTATCTTGTTTGACATTGTAGAAAAATCCTTAGAGTTTCGTATGAATTCAAGAAAGTTACAGTATTTTTATAAATGGAACTCTGCTAGAGTGAACTTAACCCAGATAAATGATAAAATAGGGGAATAAATAACAGACGAATGTACTGATATCTTAGTCCAACGTCTGAATGGTTTCGGTTGAATATTTTGAAGAGCGTTTTAAATTCATAATTTATAACCGCTTATAAAAGAAAGAGAATAATAGAAAGAAGCACTTTGCTTAAAATTTTCCGGAATTATACTAAATGCTTCAAGAAAGAAAAAAATAAGATAAATGCAGTGTCTTTTTCCGAGAAGTATTGGCTGACTATTTATTTTTCGAACATAGATATTTTCCAGCACATATTTATTTTACACTACGACACAACTCATTACTATATCTTCAATGTATATATAAATTCAATATGTATTTCAAGAAATTCAGTTACAAGGTCTAAATATAAGCTTATAATGTTACATAAACATATGTAATCACTATATATAGTATTTTATCTATTAATCACCTATGGAAAAATATGCATGATAAGAAGAAATGAAATTTTTGTAATAATTATCCGATGAGGCTTCTAGTTCAGGAATAAATTCTCATCAGAAACTCATTCAGTTTCACTTTATGAAAATCGGACTATTCTCATTACAGCAAGATAATCGGATTCATCAAATGATGCTTCTATTCTTGAAAAGGAATGTGCCATAACATTTCACCATCCCGTTTCCAGGGTTGCAGGAAAATATTTCACCAGGAAAAACGAAACGGAAAGAAGGGCACCGGAAAATTCGGAACGGAAAACAAGTCACCATTCTTTTGCAATGGGAAAAATAAGAGATGTTTAGAAATTTCGCCAAGCTGAGAGATAAATGCTTTGTAATAACAACCCAACTTCGGAGTATGGGAAACTTCTGGCGATGACTGTAAGAAGATAAGCGAGCTGCTGGCTTGTCCGATGGTAAAAATAGAGTAGGGGTTCCCAACCTGCGCCCGCGGCACCATGGCGCCTGCCGGTCCTTTAATGTGTGCCCGCCTCTTTGCGATAACAATAAAATCGTTTAAGTTTTCAATAAAATTATATCTTAAAGTTTTCTCATTTTTAAAGGAATAGAAATTGCGTCCTGCACGGATACCAGCACAAAGGGAAATGCTACCGATCCCTTTTTATGTACTCTATCCAACTACAAATTCACCTTGAAAACGTAAATGGTGCCAGCCGTCTAATAGATATTCTAGAATGTGCTCTTAGGGACAAAACGTTTGGGAACCCCTAAAACAGAAGGTTGATCAGCGGGTCATTGTTTTCAGTTATTGCTCTTCTCTCACTCCATGTAGTTATAGCCTTAAGCTGTGGTTCAGTGAAACATTGTCGCATAATTGAATAAGAATTTATCTGAGCGTTAAAAGCAGTAATGAAACAAATCCTTGTAAATGCAATTTATACACAATTTGCGATAAGAATATTACTCAATATTTAGCTAATTAAATGTCGCATAATTTGTTTTTTTTAATTTTATTTTAATTAATTATATCGTATTTGCACAGGGAACAACTGTTTAATTTTGCATTTAAGTCTAAATAGAAAAACAAGAAAATTACTGTTATTAAAAATTAAGAGATTTTTTTTTCAAAATTATATTAAAATTTTAAAATCTAATTAAAGGGATCCTATAGCCAAGAGATTTGGTTTGAAACATTTAATATACACTGTGGTTCATTTTATATTAAATGCTTAAATCAAAATCTTCCGAAAGTATTTCCCAGAGCAGAAATTAATACTTGTACCGAGCATTATCGCCCTACGACGAGCACTTCCACCGAAAACCAAAATAGTTAGGAACGTGGATGATCGCCTTAGAGAGGATTTAATATATTTTACGATGCACCAGTGTGTTGTCTTCCCAGATCCGGACTATCTAGTAGCCCATACGCAGTTGGCGACCAGCTCCCTAAGACGATTACTTCCAAACGTGATCGCATTTCTAAAAATATAAACAAGCATTTGCACTGCACATCATCTCTCTAAGATGATCACCTCCACAGAATACCAAAATCAACTAGAAGTATGGATGTATATCTTAGAAAGGAATTTTACTCATAGTAGTTACATTCATTACAATTACGTGTAAAGCATAAGGACGCTTATGAGCGGTTAAGTTGCTGAATATTGGTAGTTAGACCTGGGTTCTATTTCTAGCAAAGAGGGTGGTTGGATGGACATTTTCATGGTTTTTCCCACATATAACGTGACTGTCTCGCCATCACATCTTCAGCTGCCCAGCAATCCAGGCCAGACTGTTTAACATCGGCATTGAAGACCCAGTAGAACTACTTTATACTGTTAGAGATGCCGAAGTTGCAAAAGCTGTCTTCGACAGCTTCGAAGCTATATAATTGCACTTATATAATAATATAAGCTATATAATTGCACTAATTAGTCATAGACAAGACATCATCATGAGCCAGTTTTGCGTAAAAAGACTTCCACGAAGACGGGACTTTCTCTTAGGGCGATAGCCTTCGTGCGCTTTATTATAATCAAGCAAACAAAAACAAATTAAAGAAATTCGTTTTACTCTCTAACAGTCATACTAATATCCAAATATACCATACGTGGGAGCTTTTCGCATTCAGAACCTAAAACGTATCAGAACGGAAAATTAAATAAATTTAATAATTTAACTTGATTATGCAGAATTCTAAATAACAAAATATTCTTTCTCACAACCACATCACATTAAACGAAGAATTGAAACTGAACCATGCAAGAAATTTTTTGAAAGTATGCTCAGATTTATTAGTACATAATATTCAAATGATAAAATATTTACATGAACAAGCTTTAAAAAGTGTTTATAAATTGTAATCAAAAAACAGGTTTTCAAAAATACAGTTTCAGTACAATGCAAAATACATGTTTGTGTATCTGCTTAAGCACACTGAGCCAAAGTATCAAGTTTTCAGTTTTTAGGCAAATTGCTTTTAAGAATAAAAGTAAAGATGGAAAAGCAGTTTTCCGCATTAGTTTGTTCTCACTGGAATAAAAACTCTATTTCAGGTGTTTCGTGTTCTTGTGTTTTCTTTCATGTGTAACGTAAATACCAGTGATCAGGCAAATAACAGATGTGTTCCAAAAGCACGTGCTTCGTCATATTTGAATGGCCTAACTCAACATATCAACGCGTTTATTATCAATGTAAAACTAAATCTACTTGACTAGATTAATGCTAGTTTTTTCACAAAAAGTAGTAACAGTCATACCTTTATAAATCATTTTACAAATTGAGGTGCATATATAGTGCACCTCAATACACAAATATATAATAGAAAGAGTAACATTTTTTTCCTGCTTCAAAATGCACAGTTGATAGGAATTAGAATTGCATCAGTAAGAGAAATGATTTATACTTTAAAACGCATTCTTTAACTTTCTAATCAAATCCTGTTTAAAACAGTGAAGCGTATTGGATCGGAAAGATGTATAAGTAATCACATTAATTAAATAATTTTAAAATCAAAATTTTTCAATTACACAAGAAGGAGAAGGCGCAATATTACTTTTCTAAACTTTTTTTTTTTTTTTTTTAATTTTCATTTATTTTTTTAGTCCAAAGGGGTAATTTCCCCAAAGGACTATTAATTTCGATTTGGCATTTGGCATTAGTTCACTATAAATATCGGTTCACTTTTCAGATTGTTGACATCAAGTATTAGAGCCTTGCATTATATTTAGAAATTAAATAATGAAGAATCTACATGAATGTATGTATGTATCTCACACTGTGATAAAACAACGATAGTTAGGGCAATCAAAGTTTGAATAACGTGCGTTTCCATGCGAATATGTGCATCTGGAAGCCCAAATTTGGAATTTGGAATTTTGTTTTATTACCTATTTCATATTTTGCAAACCTTTAATGAATTTTTGATTAACAAACTCAACGACTTCAAATTGAGCAATCACAACACTGTACAAAGAACAAGAGCATTTTCATCACCAGCTCACTGTGTATCGGAAATTCTAAAGATATGCTCATTTTAAAATTATTTTGAGATATTTCTGTTAATTGAATTTTATAGTTTAAGTGCGAATAGCATGATATTTAATAAATAAAGGTCATGCACAAAACCTTAAAAACGCCCTTTTGGGGCCAATGTAAAATATGGAAGCTTTCAGATTTTTATATTTTATTTTTTTAAAATATTTTTGTGGCAATTAATTATAATTTCTGCCTCAGCATTCCGAAATCTTTGGAAAATGCCTTTGATCCTGTGAACAGACATGAAAATATCTATGTTGCGAAGTTGTTTTCTTGTTATATTTTTCTGTGTGACAAATTGGTTGGTTACATATAGTCGTGTTTATATCTACACACACACACACACACACAAAAAAAAAAAAAATTGTTTTACTAAAGAAAAGAAAATTTAAGGTGTCTAAGGTCTCTTTAAGGTGCATCAGTATCTCCAACGCTTTTCTTCACAGCGTTATTTTAATTAATATTCATTATGATATTCCTTTTACTGTTTTCAAAATCTACAGAATTTCATTTGTGTATTGTTTGTTATAAACTTATAACATACGCATTTCGTGATTATTTCTCATTTATGTTGTTATAAATGTAAAAAAAAAATGTTTCAGCAAACATTGTTTTATTGTTAATTAATATTAAAAAAAAAACCTGCTGTTTTGTAAGGTAAAAAATAGATACTATGAATTTTTATCCTTTTTATTAAATTTTAAACTTCAGTGATTTCTACATGATTAGAAATGATGTCACAATTCCGATATTATAAAACAACCTTTTTATACATTTGCCAATAAATTATATTACATCAGTCTTTAAGTTGTATACGTTTCATGAGTAATGCGGGTAGTCCAAGATGGATGGCGTCTTTTTCTACATTCCTTATATACTTCCTAATCGTTATATGGCACATGTTTTCTAAACTGAGGCACTGCTTAGACTCATTAATGACATAATTTAAGAGCTGAGTGTTTCTCTCATTTAATTTTCCCAAACTTCTCCACTGTATTAAAGTTGTTTCTCGATCTATGGCCCGTAAATCAGCACCAGAAATTATGAGGAGATCAACTAATCGCTTGCTGCCATTCCTACATGCAAAGTGTAATGCGGTATTCCCAAACACGTCACGGCTGTCGATATCACTTCCGGAAATCAAAAGTTTTCGAACTACAGTTTCAAGATCTCTTTTAATAGCGAAATGTAGAGCTGTCTTACCATCAGAATGAGCAGCATTAACATCACATCCACGTTTTATCAACATGAAACACAAATCCACATATGAGGAATATGAGGAATCGGCAGAATGATTCATTGCAATGTAAGCACTATTTATAGCAAGTATCAGTGGTGTTCCCAATGCATGGTTGCCGAGGTTAATCTGTAAAAGAAATAGAATGTAAAAATTTGCTATAAATTAATGTATTTGAAAAACAAGAGCTACAAAAACACGCAAAAGAGTTAATAAATTATACCGCCTCCTACCCACAATGTCAATAAAGACTTAACTAAGAGAAATCTATAGAAAGCCTAGCTCTACAGAAGAAATGTCCTGTAAAATGCCATCTCTTGAATTATTGCATAAAGTACTGAGGCAACATTTCATATGCTTCCTGTTTATGGGCATGACATTCTAGAAATCCATTTTAATATAATGGCATATATATTTAAAATTTTATTATTAATTTTTATTTACGATTTCCCCTAAGAAATCAAGAGCTAAATCTAAACTGAACTTTTGTAAATTTTTGTTTAGAAAATTGAGAAATTTATGGGAAAATACACCAAGAGAAGTTTTAAGTGTAATGGGAGAAACAAATAGAAATTATTTTTTTTTACCAGTTTTACCAAGAGAAGTTTTTCTTTAACTTCATAATTCTACTCTCTAATTTTATTCCTTTTTCAGGCAATAGAACATTCGACTTGAGGTTTCGAAGTGGCCTAAATTCTTAATATCGTTCATGATCGAATGGAAGAAAATTTTCTCTCTTTTTTATTAATATTCCGTATGAAATATTTTCAGCACTTCAGCCCTCTAAACCTGTTGTTATTTGGACGCATTTGGATTCATTAATTCATTATTCAGAAAATTGGCATGGCTTTTATTAATATCTTTTTTTGTTTTAATTTTGGAAATTTTGATTACATTATCACCATTTAAAAACTGTTTACCAGATTTAATTGCTGTATGGAGAACATAACACAGTAAGTTTATCCAGAAACAATAAAGAAATTATTTTTCTATCATGATAACTCTCAAATACGTAAATTCAAAATATATAATGCGTTCTAAAGATGAAAAAATAAAGCTTTGCATAGTAGAAAACTCAGTCCTCAAAACTACTTTTCGTTTGAGTTAAAATGATAATCATTGGCTACAAGTAGTTACAAAGTTACATAAAACATCTCATCAAGAAGGTTTTCGCTGTCTGCCAGCATGCTATTTACATCTTCAATTTGGAAATTGCATTAACTCTCTAGAAAAATTAAATTTACATTGATGGGGGGTTATTATTAAATCCATTTCCTTAGTCTCATAATATTAGTTGGTAAGGTGTTTGAAATTTGACGAATGTTTGATATACTTCTTTGTTTATGCTAGAGTTAACTGGCTTTCCAAATGATCATAAAAACAGACACTTCATCAAACGTTTAATTTCAAAGAAACTGTATTCTTATCTGTACATAACAGTATGTATATCACAGGAGTGATTGCGACCACATATCTTGAAAAATACTGTACGACCACATTTGATATTGATAAATATACATTTCAAATAATTCAGAATATTGATATGAAATACAGGCATGCATACACACATATCTTCAAACTGTTTTATTTGCAAAGCAAAAATAAATAAATAAATAAATAAATAAAAATAAATAATAAATAAATAAAAATAAATAAATAATACTACTATTAAATTTACTAAAATAATTTAAGTTTTACTATGCTAGTTCAGACTGTTGTTATCTAATTGGATTATTTTTTAAAGACTGTTACTATGTTAAACTTATTATTCCTGGGAGAGGTGTTTTTCATCTAAGCACTGCTGCTTTTATATTTTCTTCCCTAAGCATCTGGATGTGATCTTCAGCATATTTTGATTCAGATAATAACTTTATGAGAAATTGTTAGAAATGAGAATGATTGGTGGAACATAAAGAATTTTAATAAGCTATCCCAAAATGCAATAAATTTTACCTAAAACCTTTAACAATAGTTATCAGAAAGATTTTAGACCAAAATCTTTATAATGCAGTCCTGTGTAATGAGAGTAAAGAAGATTTCAACCTGTGCATTATCTAAGCTATTAATGTTCAAGGATGTTCTTCCTGTATAAGACAAACAGCAAAATAAAGTTTTTGATAAACCACACTTGTGTACGCAGATGTTTGAGAACATCGGCCCTTCCGCCGTGAGAAATCGAAAAATCGCAGAGACAAAAGGTACGCATTGCAAATTTCCTTGCGGAAGTCATAGGAGAAATATCATGTGTGTACGATTTCTGAGAAGTAGATGAGTATTTGACGTTTTTCGCAGACGTAACTAAAACCAAAAGATCGTAATTCATTCATCTGTTTCCCGAAGCCACGTGCACTCACACAAAGCCCATCTTTCAGGGGGCTTTCAATCACACCGCTCAGCGCCATGATGAACAAAATAACCTTGATCTTGCTTTGTATTCATTGTCTGATATATGCCAGATGACACGCAGTAACGCCCAATGCTCATTGGAGGACTGGATCACCATGTTTTACATGGTACTTGTTTTGGGACGCATGTACTCTCACTCAAAAGGCAGAACACTGTCATATTTTCTTACTAAAAAAAAATACTTTGTTTTTGTTCCATATGTTATCTAGAGAAACATCAAGAGCTTTCAGATGCCCCAAATCACTTTTTTTGAACAAATAACAAAGGATTAAACCAAGCTATATAAAAAGTGTGAGAAATTTTAAGAATAACAGAAAGTCGGGAGAAATATTTTGTAAATCGGGTTGATAGGTAAACGGCTGACAATCGGCGCTCTCCCCGTGCATAATATTACACTAAGTCAAATAAACTAAAGGGAGAATGTTTTAAGGAAATAGATATATTTTTACTTAAAAGACTTCGTGGAGAACTCTTTCTTCTTCTTCTTCTTATTATTATTATTATTTGTCCACTGGCCCAAGAGAGGGCGCTACCAGCTTTCTCCCTCATCTCCACTAGGGAAAACTTCAGGCTGGTTAATCTGTTCTTGGCTGCCGTCGGTGGAGCGAGCGTCACCTCTCTTCCGCTTCGTGATGTCTTAGCTGTTATATGACTTTCATGATTTTTTACCTACGAGGACTTGCTACCTGTAAAATGCTTATCATTCAAACTGCATTCAATGTGACTGTGTATAAGTGAACGTGTGTTGAAATATATATCTTTTTCTAGTGTTAAATAAAAATGTTAAATCATCGAGCCAAGTTATCGTTTTATCTGCAGCAACCCAAAAACGGCATCCATAGACGAAAGCCATAAACTATTACGAGAAGGAAAATTTTAATTTCGGACTAAATTACTTAATTATTTCTGAATGTTATGAAAAATCACTCCGCGTTTTCAAATTTCCCCTTAACTTTAATGCATATTTTTTATTATAAAAATATGTAAACAATTAAATACCTTAAAATAACTGTCAATTAAGTTAAAAATTTGAACATAAAATTCCCTAATTTAAGAAACATATTTCGATTTTCTGTAAAGAACAAGTATCCATTTTCAAGCTTTTGGCTTAGCCAAAGCATTCAGCCCTATAAAGTGGATTCCCGAAATATGATTTTGCGTAGAGTTAAGTTAGGTGTTAAAGCTTGCAAACACTGTCCTTTAAACGAGATTTATAAAGTAATAACGGCATACATAGACTCAGAGTTGGCAAGACGATACGGTATTTACCTCTCTATTCATTGCCTTTCAGAGGGCTTTGCGACAATCTTTGAAATAACAAATTTCACACGAATAATTTCAACAAACAAATGGCATATGACTCTTTTACATTTACATTTCAAAGTTTGAAATTAATTTACTTAATATGTATACTTTTTCTGAAAAAAAAATTGTATTGATTAGTGACATCAGGATAAAGAGACAGATTTTTTAAAAATGTAATAGTAAATATTTAGCATTTAAAAACTGTAATTTGATTTAGTTACTTACCTTTGCACCATCATCTAAAAGTAGAGATACAACAGGGGTTACGTATTCTGCGTCCTTATGAAATATAGAAATCAATATAGGGATTCGCTTTTTTTCATTTGCGGTCACACTAATGCCTTGCGATAATAGAAACTGCACAACCTTTGGACAATTATACAAACAAGCATTCTTTAAGAGAGCATATCCATTCTCAGCAGGGAGGTCAAGAATTTGCGTGGGCGAATTCTCTATTAGGAACTTTACAATTTCTGAAAAATAATACATACATCAGCATACAGTAAATTCGGAAACAAGAAAATGATTATTTGCATTAGTTACAAATGGAAATAGGATTGATTTATATGACACCTATATAAATACAAGCTGATTATCTCCGAGAATTTATCGCATAAGAAGACCCTTCGCACAAAATATCACTTAGATTTTGATCCTATTTAGTGCACAGGGAAGAATTAGAGTAGTAAAAAATTTAAATAGATAAAAATTACATATAAAAGTTGCGCAGCAAAATTATACATATTTTTTGAAGGAATTCAATGTTCGTATTTCTTGAAGAAATCCATTGCGCTGCCATCTGTTGCCTAATGCTTTCAAATAAATGAATGATTCGAAAATGAGAGGGGGGAAAGAGCTTTCAGAATAAAAAAATAATGAGTTAATAAAGTTTTAATAAAACATGTTTTTAGTTATAATTCATAAAATAATTAATGAACTGAAAAAGACAAAACTAAATGATTTATTGAAATGGGAACATTAGCTTAAAAAATTCAATTCACGAAATTCATCTGCAAATTTATATCACGAATAATAAAAGCGTGTGTCTCCTTTAGAAAATTTATGAGTATAATAACTTGTACATTTTATTTAGGCTCCCATGTGTGTAATATTGGTGATATAAAATTGTAGGTGATTTTTGTAAGGAGAATTAATAACATCTCGTTCATTTGTCTTTAAATTGTATGATAAATTATTTTATGATTTTTAGTCATTGATTGTTTTATAATTTTATAGACTTACAAAATAAAGCTTTTTTTTTTCCTGTTATCGTTGTTGTTTCCTTGCTTGTTTAATGACACATGTTATGAATCAAATTGTTCATTTTAATAAACCGATTTTCTTTAAGGAACAACCACTCTTTTATTTTAAATAATTCTATAATTATTTACAACCTTACAATAAAATACATTCATCATTTCTAGTTTTACATCCATATTTAAGTATACTATCTGCCATAAATAAATTTATGTATTTGATCTTAGTTTACCTTTGTTTGTTAATTCGCACTCTTTCAGCTAATGCGTTATTATTAAGCGATCTTTTCCACAGTCAGAATTATGTTACCTATATCACCTTAAGTATAATTATAAAGACCCATAAAAATATAACATTAAACATTATAATAAAAAAAATCCACTCGAATCTAGTCCCGAAATTGGATCTCGAGATTCATTGGAATACTGTTGACTGTTGTGCAAAGATGTTCCTATATAACAGGACAGAACCGCTTGAATGAAAATCTTGTATTTGAGGACAGTATAAATTCTCCAAGATAGCAACTATTCACTGCAGTAAAGTGCAGTGGCTGTGCTAGATCAGAAGACAGCTCACATGAGTACCTCTTGTTAATCTTCAGAATCTTGAGGCTTAATTAAGGGAAATAAAACGTTAGATTCTTTAAAGGAACTGAAATAAAACTGGGGTTGAAATCGTCTTAGATTCAGGTTGAAAATTTGGTCAGTCGTCATCTGCGATATAGGCTGATTGTTCGCTAACAAATAATAATGCATTAACTGTAATACATATATAAATTAAGACTGCAGAATTCCAGTGAAATATCAAAGTGTATAAATTATTAACGTAAACAGAAAGATGTATGTAAATTAAAGGAGAAGCGAAGGTAGTTCTGTGTAAGTAATATGAATGAGATAGTATCATATTAAGGGTAAATTATATTGTTATGTGCGTTCAAGTTCGTAATGGATTAATTGCGCACAGAACCGACGAGAGCTTGATACATTTTATTTTTCCAAAAGAGACACTACTGCTCTGGAACTTCTCACAAATGTACTTATACATCTTTTCTCAGTATTACAGAACATAATGAGTAGTTACCACTTTAAACTACTAAGAATGTTAAACACAAGGCAAGGCAAAACGCATTTAAGGAGAAAAGCTCGCACGGAGGTCTCTCAGTACTGCTAACTCAACTCTGATTTAAAATGAGAAACGTTGCTCTCTCCAGTTTTTATATAGTTTTCCCCAGATCATTGAGACATTTCCAGTATCCTCAATTTCTGGAAGGCATATGCAGTTGCAGTAACATAGAGGGCTGAATACTGTTACAGTTATAATATACAGGAATGAGATCAATTAGAATTACACAGAGATCGGAATAAAATGTCACCAAATGGACACCAAGTTTGTCGCCTAAACTATCGTCAACTTAGCGGTATCTCACCAGTTTTGCAAAAAAGCCATTTAGTTCAATGTTAAATGGACTTGTCCTTATAACTTTTCTTTCCGATGGAGCTTCGAATTCTTCATACTTTTCATGTACTAGCATTATATAAAATTCGACCCAATATTAAGATTCATTTATAATTGAATAAGCATAAGCACGTATTAGCAGAAGTTGCACAGCGTTATTAAGATGAACGAACTTTTTTATTTTTCTTTAGTGTGACCAGTTCCCTGTAAATATTCATCTGTCTGTTTCCATTTCCTACCAGTGTAAAAAATCTCAAACTGATCAGTAAAATTATAGAAGCTGAAATCCAGAATTACTTTATGGAATCTGTACAGAACTGACGTGAAGACCCAAAAACGCAAATTCAGAAGTTCCAAAACGGATGAAAATAAGAAACAAAAAAGATCGAAAAACCGAAAGACTTGAAAGAAAAGAAAATCGAAAGATCTTGCAATCGACGCCGGAAGTTTCCTCGTAAATGCAAAACCAATAATATGGTATCTATTAAATAAAGCCTGTGAGGGCCAGGTATAAAGCTAAAATCCAAGTTTTTATTTCATACAAATAGCACTTCAGGCACAATAGAGTAGGTAGAAAGCCTACCCCGGTGACGAAGGGTCTGGGTTTGGATCCAGGAGAAGGCACGGCTGTAAGTGTCCATGCCTTCAAAGGAGGTAACACTGGCCCACATATTAGGTGTTTTTATTACCAACGAATAAGGCGAGAACAGATATAATAAACTGTATAATTTTTAGCATAAATATAAGTACTTAGAATACGTTAATACTGTGCATTAAAACTGATACATATATCCATTAGAAGTATGATGTTTTAATTCAGCATTTGGGAGAAAACCTGAAATGATTGAAATAGAAAAATGCCATAATTAACGAGAGCCAAAATAGTGTTAGGGAATCTACTAATGATCTACCAGGTATTCCGTTTCAGTGAAACATTTTGGAATGGTGACACATGACCAGCTTCGATGTCGCGGTAATTGATATTAACACACATTTATCCCTTTTTGAGCACCAAATCAAGTCTATAGCTTTATCGGAAGCTAAATGTTTGAGCCAACTTATGCCTTTGTACCAATGGAAGTAGGACAAATCATAATTTGCGAAACGACAAGAGAAACACAAATATACGCTCAAATTAAATAGGTGTTGTTGGGTCCTTGCCATTTAAACCCAGAAGTCGTAGAGACAACAATCTGCAAATCATAGAAAGAAGACGAAGGAAACATTTTATGGTAAGATTTTATGTATAAATTGCAGACTTATATTGATGAAAGGGTCAGTTAAAGATCAGTTAAAGGAGTTAATTAGCCAAAGTTAGAATAACATATTTTCAATTCTTGCCTCAAGGTTATTAAGCAGGAGCACGTTCTCCTCTGGAAAGGTGTTAAGACACCCGGGTACCTAGGCGAACCGTACCCTAATCGAAACCTACAAAGTTACGAAACACTATTTTAGTTAAGATTGGTAATAATGAAATTGTACATATAGAAAAAATCTATACAATATTTCTTTTTTGTTGTTCCTTTTAGACTTGAATTTATTGTGTTACAATTATTAAGTTCCAACACATGTTGTCGGTGTTAAAGACACCAAGTACATGCCTTTATGTTCATATTTGAGAATAATAATGGGTTATTTACACCTTTCATCTGTGCTGGTATTATTTCACGCCTGTGCAAGAAGTCGCCAGGGTCTTTAGTAGGATCTAGTAGAGTTTATGTGGCCAAAGAGAGTAAGATCCTATAAAGCAATAAATATTAATGTGTGTGTATTGAGATCACGGCACAGCACACTAGGGCTATCTGACTAAGGGGGGATGTCTTCGTGGAGGACTTTCTAAGGGAAACTGGATCGTATACACGTTACACATGGTGAAAACCACGAATACGCCCATGCAGCCAGCCCTTTCGCAATAAAAATTAATGAATTCGAACCCTAAGACGAATGTTTGCAAAAAATAAATACGCAAATAAAAATGTATTTGGGGATAAATCGCCAAATAAGTATCGCCTCAGCGCAGAGCATGAGGGGAAAATGCGTGCTTTTGTAGACACCGTCGTCCAAAACATTTTAAGTGGAAGTGGCCGTTCCTACATTTCACTTGAAGAAGCCACCGTTCGACGGGATCTGAACGCTTGTCGATTTTCCACAATTTAGAGAATTTTCTGCTTCTGTTTTCGTGTATTCTATCTATGAAAAACACATGCAGTGTTTAAAGTTATTAATGACTCTCTGATTATATATTAATTATCTGATTAGTTAAAGACTAGATAAAGAAAGATGCATCATTTACATATTTATCAACCTCATTATAATTTGCTATATATCTTCGGTTTCTCAACTCGTACTTCCCAATGGAGACACTTTTCTTAACTAACATATAAATAAATACAGTACTTACACAGACTGATAATAAGATCAAGTAAATTGCAAATTTCCTATTGTTTTGCGTAATAATAACAATTGTATGTCAGTTCAGAAACTGCATTAATAATTCATTGGCTACAATCTAAATTAATCATTCGGTACATTAATTACTCTTCCAATGTACAAGTTATTTCACTTTAAAAATGACCAAAAAAGTTAAAATATTTTTAATATTACCTAAAGATGCATATTGGGAAGCAATATTCAGGGCTGTTCTTCCTTTTGTTTCTGTGCTCGTAATATCGGCTCCCTGTTCTACAAGTAATGTGATTAACTCATAATCTGAAATGTAAGCTGCTAGATGAAGAAGCACATTGCATAAGAGGTCATCATAATTTGGTATAAAATAGCGATGATCGAAGTTTCCTGAAAATAAAATTTTTATAAATTTTAACTTATAGTAGGAATTCATGTATGATTTATTAGAAATATCTTAAAAGAGTTCTCATAAAAGTACCGTATATAATAATTACTAAAATCTATGAATGACAGTTTTACATAAATATTGTATTACAAAGGCTAATTAAGACCGGTGGCGCAATGGCATCACAGGCCCGGTATTCGATTCCCGGACGGGTCAAGATTGACTAAAATTTTTATCCCTTGAGTGTGTCGATAAAATTAGAACCAAGTTTGCAGCAGATTTCGGGGCTCTGCAGGCCTTGGCTCGCTAGGGCTGTTGATCCACTGGGTTTAGTTTAGTAGAAAGACCAATTTCATGACTTTGTTATAATAGACGAATATTAATAAGGGCAATTTATTGAAAGTATGCAATATTCTTTAGCGCAAATAAAATCTTTGGTTTGAAATTATAGCAAAAGAGCTAAAAGTTATTTTTACCTCACAAATGGATACTGGAACCAACTTGAAAGGCAGAATTCTTAATTTTATATCTATTGCTGCGTTATTTTCTTCCTTTACGTTCGTACAGGTTCGTAGATTTGGAGTGAATAATGACGACACTTGATGAAGTATCGAAACGCACTTTATTTAGCCATATTAATCAGGACAGCTCCAAAGTCACGTTTTACAGTCGTCGAAGACCTACTATAAACACGCTGGAACAATCAGCGACAAAGCCTTCAGGCTATCACCGTGAAAACAGCTTCACAGCAAAGAGCCAGAGTACAGCTTCCGACTCTGCTTGGTCGTTCTCGGAACTCCACGTACTCTCGACACTCTCCAAGCTACAACTCGCGATGCACTCGACGACACACAGAGCGCAGTTCCCGACTCATTGGTTCAGTCATTCCCGAAGCTCAACACTCTCTCTCGACGATGAACTAAGGGACTCTTTCAGTGCCCTCGACGACCCACTCGGCACTCGCTGACCGACTGTCAACTCGATTTACTCCGCACGGACTAACTAACTCGAGACTCTAACTATCTCGCACTCACTCTCCGCATACCAGCAGGGTTTACCTAGTTTTTGGCTTGTGTTCGAGAACATTTTGGACGAAACCGGTAAGAATTCGTTATAAGGTTCTCCATCCGTTTCTGGCATATCGCCAATTTTGTGGACAAATGGCAATTTCTTGCCAAATGTGGCAACATGCATTCCCTTGCCATTTTATGGCAACCCTAAACCTGCTTTTCAGGGAAGCTATCCTACCGCGCAATTTCGTAACACTATTATTGCTAACACAAAATCAACTCATGGAATATTTTTGTAAAATTTTGACTGTCATCGGTTTCTTATGATCAGAAATATTTCTTCATTACATCATGTACAAAGGTTAATTTTTTTTTTAATTTATAAAGAATATAGATAAAATTATTTGGCTTTATAAGGGAATTTATTCCATGTCAGAGACATTCTTTTAAACCCAAACGGGCTATTATTTCCAAAATGCAATTCTGCATGTTTTACTTTTCATTCGAATCCGTTGCTATTCGGATAAATTCAAGATATTCATCATTGAAAGTTAATCTGTCAGTTAATAATGAACAAAGTAATCAATTTAAAAGTGATAGATGCAGTTCTTAAGAACTGTTTTTTTTTTTTTTTTTTTTTTTTTTTTTTTTTTTTTTTTTTACTTTTGAATCTAATGAGTTAAGTAAACATGCGTTTACTTCATGACACATTTAATATAAAATATTAAATACTTGTATAGAATTATATTATAATTTTTCACATTTCTAATATAATTTTCCCATTATTTCATTACATCATTTTGCTTTCTAATCTTTTGCCATTTTGAAAGGTTTTTGATATTATTTTTTCATACTTAATCTGTCTGTTATTAAGAAAGAAAGTAAAGATTGTAAAGATATTCCATCAAAAATTATTTGACGCAGTTCGTAAAAAGATTATTTGATTTCTTTTCAGTCTGAATTGATTTAAAAAAACGAATTGAGTTGATGATATACCTAGTTAAAAATATTAAACATATTTCGAGATTTGTATTACAATTTTTTTTTTTTTTTTTTTTTTTTTTTTTTTTTTTTTTTATCTTTTAAACATACTGAACACATATAATGTTCAAATGTCAATCGACATTCATCTAGTATCCTCTAAAATCTTTCTCCGTTCTACATGAGTCATGTTTATGGGTAACCTGTGTTGATACACAATATTAAACATTAAACTTAAATTTCAGACTGCAGTTTAAACGTGAATTCTTTCTGTAATAAATACTGAAATATATTTCTTCATAAAAATGATCCTAATTTATATAACTCTTTAATATGAAATATGAATAAATTAAAAAAGAAGTATTATCTCATGCACAAACATACAAATCTTAGAAAAAAAAAAAAAAAAAAAAAAAAAAGCAGGAGGGACAAATCATATTATAAGATTTTAATGCAAAGAAATTTTTATTTCAGGCCTAAAGGAAAACAAGTTTAAGAATAGAATTTTAAAAATACACTTAAATATATTAAAGGGATATACAAAAAATTAATTAATGAAGAAAGGAATTCAAATTCTGATTCCATCATTTCAATATTTTAACAAAATTTGGCAAAAAAATATTTTAGCAAAATTTCAATTTTTTTTAATATTTTTTCAGACTGATTTAAATGCATCAATGTACTTCAATAATAACATTGATAAACACTAGACATAAAACATTGGTTTATCTCCAAAATGTTAAAAGTATGTCTGTCAAGAGTTGATAAGCGTGATCCAGGTGAACTGAAATTGCAAAAATCGGTACTTATTTAAAGAACGCTTCTGCTGCATAGATATCAAGATAGGATTAGAAAGAAACTAATCGTACTAAAATTTTGTGTTATTAATCCATATCAACAAATGTAATTTCAACAAATGTAAATTCAATTTTAATAGTCCTTTAGTAATTTAAAAGTATCGTAAAATGCATGTGCAAATAGACGAACATTACCTGGTACAGTAGCATTCACTTGCAGAAACAGATCCCTGGCAGATAGTCGAGAAGAACTATCCGTTACCGAAGCGAAGATGTAATGTGCATGGCAACCTTGTCTTAAAATGCCTTTAATAGCTTCCGTATCATGCTTCGCGAAAGCTTTCGTCACAGCGTCGACAATATTTTGTACATCCTGCAAAGGAATGAAGTTTTTCTATTTATATTAACAGCAAAATATATATATATATTTTTAAAGCAAAGTGGAGGAAAAGAAGAAATGATTAACATTACTAACTCTAAGAAAGGACAAACCTTATCTTACTTTTTGTTATTCTTCACATTGCAAGTTACTTTTAGTACGCTTTGATTTAAATAAAAAATTTCCGACATAGCTGTGAATATACCAGTCATAAGAATTTATTTAATTACCTAATCTTATTTTATTTTTAATAACCCATTTGAAGTCAAAAATTAAAATTTTTTACATTTCCCATATGCGCGGACAAGTGTTAGGGCAATCATATCGCTCTTCTGGAAAAAGGGTTATTTATTGCGCATGAGCTTAATATTCCTCTTACATTATTTCTTGTTAGTCTCAGTTACAAACCTCGGGTGCGAATGCGATTTCATACCATTGTAGTTAACTAAATTTCAAAGTATGTTACGGATCTGCTGAGATCGCACCATGTAGTAGCTACATAAGAGCTTTTGGACTTAGAAAATAATTAAAAATATGTGACTGTAATACCACCATAGATAGCTGCTGCTCTGAATAATTCAAATTTTATTGCTGGAATATTATTAAATTTATTTTTTATTGGAATTTATATGCTTTGCACGATTGAAAGAGAAGAGAAAATAACACACACAAAAACAAAACAAAACTAAAAAAAAACCCGTCAGCACTGTAAGCAATTAAAAACAGGTTTTCAACATCTGTAAAACCTGTCATGGAATTTTGCAGGAATTGAAATTTCTTTAATAAAAGGCTTAATTATGTTGTTCCCTAATAAAACTAAGGTGCAGAAAATGAAATTCTGAGCAGAAATAATAATAATAATAATAATAAATATAAATAAAAAAAAAATTCAAAATGCAATCTTAAGTACGACTTAGTTAAAAACTCTTCGTTTATAAAAAATAAAAATTTTAAATGTTTTTGTTAGAGAAGTAAAAAAAAATTGAAAGAACCGTTCCGCAGATTTCCTTTTTTCTTGCGAGTATTAATTTAGAAAAGTTTTAATCGTAATGAACAATAATAATGAATAATAAATATCGTAATGAACAATTAACAGATGCTGCAATTCAGTTTACAATGTAGCACCTGTTTTAATTTACCATTAATGTTTATAAATGTTACAAAAATTTTTAAATATAATGTAAAGTTTCGTAATAAAGAAATGGCAAGAAAATGTAACTACAGGATTATTAATTGAAATAAACAGAAAATATATTAGCCAGAAGTAAATATATAGGCATCCTGAAAATGCGCATGAATGAAAAACTAAACGAATTAAATGAATGACTGAACTAAATTAAATGAATTATCAAAATCTTAAAATATACCAAAAGATTCCATCTCTATGATCAATAAAACTAAATCACAGGAAAAACTGGCAAGCATCTTGTAAATAATCAAAAAATATAAGTATTAAATATATAGACTAAAGTGAATTTGAAGCGATGTAAAATATTTAAGATTTTAGAGAACCGCACAAATCATAATGTTTTACCATTTATGGTTGAGAAGAGGCTTTTCAAGAAGAGTCGTCTTCGCGTCTTATTGCACGTGTTACACTGATGAACGCGAAATCCGACAAGCTTATTAAGACCAGACCCATTCTTCTACTGTTTGCTGTCATTGGATGACAAATATCATTGTCGGTCATACATGGAATCAAAGAATATGAATGGGAGAAGTCCGTTCACATTCGGGGGGCAGGAAGCGGTATGTATGGAGTGGTTTTACAGTATCAGGTCGTTGAGATTGCTCCAAAGCTGCTACTAAAGCTGGTTTTCGATTTTGGCTGTCCCTGTAAGCCTAAAGCTGCGCTTGCGTGGCCACGTGCTCTGAACTTCACACTGAACTGCATCTTGGAATGCTAATTTATTTGAACAGCATTTTTAATGATAAACTACATATGGTATTTATGATTTCTGGACTGCAATTATTTTAATTATTTTGGACTTGATTAAAATTTGTTTGAGTAATTTTCGCGAAGTCCTGCCAAACAGCCCGATTGCTGGTTAGGATACTTTAAGTACGATTTTGCGCTGCGAGTGCAAATTAATTAAATTCCTTGATTTTTAATTTAATTTAACTTAATGATTTAACCTTTTTTGGATTTTGGGTGTCATGCCCACACAATTACCCCCCCCCCCAGTTCTCGCTTCAGGCGATTGTCAGGGGCCCTGTGTACTACCCGCCTATAGAGAAGTCTATCGGGCCAGACTCTGCTCCGGGGTTTAGAACTCCAACCTTGTTGGGCGCTGGATTTCTTTGCTGCTGAGCGTGACCATGGAGAGGCTTATCGAAATATATAATGCACAGATACATGAGCTAGAACTGATATATGCTACGAAGGGTTAATTATCTGACATAGAAAATAAATTTTATGCTTTCCTGCACAGCTCTTTATATATAGTTAACGCTTTAATAAATAAAAATGCATGTAATGCAAACACAAATCAGGATGCTATTACACACGTCGAGTCATACAAACACTAGCTTACAGGATAATGACAGGGTTAGGAACCCCTCAGTCTGACTTATGAGGAAACAGACAGTGCTGTGGAAAGACAACACTTCAGAAGAAGATGAACCGAAACTCCGTCCCGGCGATCGAACAGTAAGCAAAAAAATTTCAGATCAGATGCTAAAAAAAATAAAACTTACCACGCATACCTAAATCATTTCACCGGCCGTTACGACTAGTCAAGATAACAATTCTGACAGAAATACCAATGAACAGAATAGTAATGAACATACTCAAACCACTCAACCTCTTAATGAAATCATGGACACAAAATACTGCTGATGAGGAGCAGTACACTCAAAATCCAGATGACTCACAACCTAATAAACAAAATTCTAAACTATCTGCGATAGTCTTAAATGAGACTAAATACATCTGGTTTAAAACGGAGGAAACGTTTCACCAACACAAGTTTGAATTTATGGGAATTAAACTACGAGAGGGTGTCAAAGTAATCGCCACAAATCCCGACAGCTCTCGTGGAATAGTCAAAATATTAAATAACTTAGAAATTGAGCATCATTCATGTGTCTTTCTATAGGACAAAAACTTAAAAGTTGTAATAAATGGACTTCTTCTCTTTACAAAATTAGAAGAAATAAAATCAGATTTAGAAAGTAGAAACTACACAATTTTAGACTTAAAATAGATGTCTAGGCGGAGAGGTGAGGAAATGCAGAAACTCCCCTTTCTTGATGCCACCCTGCCTTAGACTAAGGCTTCAAAGCAAATTTATTATGAACGACACATCGGAGACTTAATCGTCCAGATAGTTGAGTACAAGAGAAGACAAGGCCCATTACAGTGCTGTCAGGTCTTCGATCATACGCAGTCGTTCTGCAATTATCGACCTAAATGTGTTAGATGTAACGAACCTAATTATATCAGCGAATGACTTGACAGAAATAATCTTGAAAATCCTCTTTGCTGTGTCAACTGTGGTGAGTCTCATACTTCAAGCTTTAAAGGGTGAAAAGACGGAGAAACCTAAATCTTTCTCAAATGAAATTATCGAGGGTAATTACCTACGCTCAAACAATTTCGACGAATATTTATTCTGAAACCATTAATGAAACCAAGAAAATGTTTTCGGGCTAGGCTGAACTTGTCACAATTTTAAAATGTGCTGTTTTCTTCAATTATCTCAACAAGTTAAAAATTTAAATAAAAATTATCCTGAAACGTCTACTTCAACGGCAGTTAATAATGGATCAGAATAAAATTAAAAGGAGCGGCCATTGAAATCCTGATATCAATGGCAAACAGTGTGCTTAACGAAATAAAGAAATCACACAACTTTTTATTTGTGTATGATACCGACACCGCTTAAACACTGAGACTTTTGCAAGATCGTGGTTTAGTTTAAAGATAGCAAGTTATAAGTGCTTCCTTTGCTATAAGTCTGAGTCATCGCGGTGGGGGTGCTGCTATCTACATAAAAAATGCACTACAATTTCGTCTCATTGCAGGAGACCATAGAAATGGACTTGAAAACACTTCAGAAGTTCATATTTTGTTACCTATGTAAGGAGTGTTTTTTTTTTTTTTTTCACCGCATTATATAACCCTCCCCGAAATCCACTTGACGAAAATTTTCTTCCTGAGTTATTTTCCAGTGACAAGCATGTAATTTTAGCAGGCGACTTGAACGCCAAAACTACTGAATGGGGCTGCCGAAAACCGAACAGTAATGGTGAGACCCTTCTTCAATTCATCAATAATCACCCAATTTATTTCTACGCGCCCTCACAATATACGTATTTTATTCTTGATATTCTCCTCTCCACCAGCTCTATACCAACGTATCTCGATGTGAAAGTGGAAGTAACTTCTCATCATTTACTGGTCATTGCCACATTAGAAACTAATAAGTTTGATGATGATAAATGTAAATATTGCACAGATTGGAACATTTATAATGAGTTTTTAATGCCATACTTGGCAGTTTTCAGATAACCGGCCCTTGGCGATTTGTTGACATCTCGGAAGAGTGAGTATGCACCAGATTATGGTAACCCTGACAAGCGTTACAAACCTGCAACCCACTCAGGGAATTTTCCTGAAGGACGAAAAGGGATATTTTCTGTTTACATAGATTTAGGAAACGTTACGGCAAGACAAAATAGAAGTTGGAAAATCGCAAATCATAATTAGTTCATATTTTCGCAAATCGTTATCGGGTGTTAATCATAATTAGTTCATATTTTCGCAAATCGTTATTAACACCCGATAACGCTGTATTCCCGATGATGCTAAAAATAAAGCTCTATTCTGTTTACGGAACGTTAACGGTAAGACAAAATGAAAGTTGGAAAATCGCAAGCAAATAAAGCTCTATTCTATTTATTCTACGTTTCCTAGTCTAATTATTTATACCTTTTGTAAAATAAGCTAGTTGCATGACCCCCCCCAAAAAAAAATCGCAAATAATAATTAGTTCATATTTTCGTAAATCGTTATCGGGAGTTAATTGCAATTGAAAAAATAAAGCTCTATTATATTTATTTCTACCTTTTGTAAAATAAAATTGCTACCTCAAATGCTAAATTTATGTAGAGAAGAAGGACCAGAAAGGTAAAATACAACTTTTTATTTAAGCTCAATGCTCCTAAAATATATTAGAATATTAAAGTGGCCACCATAACAAAATAAGCTGATTGAATTGCCAATTTTGTAACATGTAACTTTTAAATATTGCAAGGCTCTGTCAATTTTTTGATTTTGTTATAACTTTATTTTTACTTTAATAAGGCTGCTTATTTTATTTCACACATTTATACCTGTAGTTAATTTGTGTATTTGAAATTGTGAATAATTCATAAAATGCTGGTGAACAAAACCTGTGTCTATACATAAGAATTAGCTTTAATAAAATAAGTAGCATCAAAGTCTAATAATTTACGCTAATTGCTCTAAAAACTCCATACTTTTCTTCAAAATAGCACTTGAGTTATTAATTGTGTTAACAATGCAGTTGTTCTACATTTTTATGCACAGTGCTGTTACTTTCATTCTTTGGTTCAAAAAAGTGAATGGAATTATACATTCTGAAAATTAGTTCACAGCAATAATTAATCTTTTACTCGTATACAATTAAATTTTCATAATTTAAATTTAAATTAGCTTTATGCGAAAGAGAAAATTTGATAAATTCTTATGAAATGTATAATATTTTTAAACAAGTGCATTTTTAGCCACTGGTTCTTTTTAAGTATTCTTCTGTTATCAGGACAAGATTCAGAATTATGTATATATGCATGTATGGATGAATGGATGGATGGATGTAAGTGCATACATGCATATATATATATACATATACACATGCATACATATGTACATTTCTGAAAATGATCCCAATAACAAAACAGTAATAATTAAATAACATCCTGACTACTGGGAATCTGAGGTCAGAACTTTCATTAATTGCACCTATCACATAACTTCAGAGATATAACTGTATTATATTTTAGTACTTAAATATTAGCTTGTTAAAGTTAAAAAGTAGCAAAGCTGAAGAATGCAAATGTGATATATTTCTTAACAATCATGTACAGTAATCGCTCTTTAATAATGGTTTTGATTATCTGCAGAATAAAGAAAACTAAAAAAGGTTATGAAAATTTGTTGAAAAACGTTTGTTGAATTGAGATTTGCCAAAGGATAAAGATTTATTTGCTTATAAATTATTTCTACATATAACTGAAATTTTATGATATGTGCTTGCTGGCTTCAGTTGTAAATAGTACTGTTATTATGACAGTTTAACTCTGGATATTTGCACCATGTTACCTCAAATTGGAACTATAGGATAAAGCATAGTAAAAAAAATGTTGGGAGGTCATAAATAAAATAATCGCAGAAATTTACTCCAGCCATTATTATTGTGAATGAATAGAACAGCAGCTAGCAAATTTATTATAATTCACAATTAATGTTCAAATTGTCATTATTGAGAATAATGTTCATTTTTGTCAAAGAGAAGGTGGACAGTGTTGAGCCGGACAGTTTTTACGATAGAAATATTAACTGAAATGCAAAAGAACAACAACAAAATTATAAATTTAACCTCATTAATATTTTTATTCATTTTCAGTTTTATCATTAAACATGTTTATTGCTTCTGTATCATGCCAAATAGACTGGCTACATGGACGTTTTTCATAATTTTCTCTATGTATGATATGAATTTATGCTTTCAAAAAGCTAACCTAGTATTATCAGTCACTTCTAATTAAAACTTCAAAAAGCTAATTAAAATGCATTCAAAAAGCTAACCTAGCATTATAAGTCACTTTAAAGTCCCAGTACTCGGTTAATTTAGCATTTGTAGCATCAGTGTTTTTATACTATACTACAAGTGTTATTAATATTTTAATTTAGTGCTGCATTTTAATAACTTTAACATTTATTTTGTTCAATAAATAAATGAACTAAAAATATTAATTAATTTATTACAATTCTATTTTGTAATTATTATGCAAATTGTTTCATGTTTATAATTTTTAACGCTTCCAGCTGATTTAGTGAGCAGAGCAGAAACAGCAGACTAGTATATATGGAGGAGCTGTCAGCTAAGTTATGCAACAAAATTATTCATCCTGCTGTCAGCATCATTCTAGTAGTGTCATTAAGCTGTAATCACCCAAGGTCAACAACTCCAGGGCAAATGGCTGAACCAAGCAAACCAAACAACATTCTAAAAAAGAACATTAAACAAAATAAAACTTAATACCTAAATCTTGATAAATCAGACAATTAAGCCATAAAACCTGCATACCAATTTTTCAGTTGCTAGATGGCGATACACTGACTTATAGTGTCCTTCAATGAAATCATTTTAAAGCAAGCTTATCAGATGATAAGCAAAAGTATTGCATCATTGGATGTAACAGTATGGTAATGATTGCATTGCTGGATAGTTCTCACAGTAAGCCAACTGTACTGTCTCACAGTGCTGTTTCTATTAAAATTCTAGCTTATGTGTTATTACTTCATTTTCATATGGAAAGCCTTCATACGAAATTGATAGCATATAGTTCAATTTATATATGCTCTGTGAAAGTAATTGCCATTGAATCTAGAATTAATGCATCATGATTCATGATGAAATGTGATTTGAGACAAAATTTCTTAAATTAGAAAATACCAAAACAGATAAATAGGAAATGAAAGATGAAATTTATGTATTTATACTGAAATGAAGATCTCGGTAAAGTGGCTGTATGCAAAGTTTGATTTTTTTGTCCTAAAATGATGTGCTGTGAAAATTTTATTTTTATTAATACTTATAATATTTTTCCAAGGTGTCTATGTTTAAGCTATTTAAACTTTTTTTTTCTCTTTTTATTATTAAAAAATGTCTTTGTCATCATTACATTCAAATCCATCTCATAACCATTTTAAAATGAAGGAAATTTCTTTCTTTTTAATAGTTTAAGAATATTTTCACAAAATATAATTATAGAAGAAGTGAACTGATACATTTATAATTATATGTCTATATATAAAAAAGAATTTTTGAGAAAGATCCTTTATTTCATAGTAGAGACATTTAATATGAGCTATGTAATATTAGTTGAACTATTTGTGAAAGGAATATTTAATCAAACTATATTTATTATGTTTTAATAAAAGTCACTGTAATTTTAAAAGTTGTTGAATTTATCAAGATTTAGGTATTAAGCTTTTATTTTGTTTAATGTTTCTTTTTAGAATGTTGTTTAAATGGAAGGGGGGGGAACTGCTGTTATTTCAAAACTCTAATAAAATAAGTCTTTATTCCTGTTTGTGAAAGTATGAGAAAGAAATAATCATCTGTTTATTTTTTGTAATGGTAGGAAAATTATCTGTGTATTTAATATAAAATTGTATGCATGTAAATAAATTTTTTAATTTATTATTTTAATTGTGTTAGCTTCAATTTTTATTCATTAAATTATATATATATATTTAAAATTCAGCTAAATATTATTAACAAGGACTTTAATTGTTGATAAGTATTTTATATTTCATCCTGTCAAAAAACTTAATTTCTCTTTTGTGGTAGTTTTTCATACAGCTCTCATTTCCTGTTCAATAGTAAATATTGCATACTTATAATTTTATAAAAGATGCCTCCCTGCCCTGGAAAAAAAAGGGACACAGATACACTCGTAATTTAAAATTCATATATAAGAACAACATGAAAATTAAGATTAGTCAATGGAACGAAATAACACATATGTCTTCAATAGAGGACAACATATGTATAATTTTGTTAGCTTCATTTATCCCATTAGCTTTTTTACCCGATAATAAAATTCAATTTTTTTTTTAATGAGTGAAAATCTTAAATAAAGCTAATGGTGCACAGACATAAAACGTAATTTTCTAAAATCATTAGGTTTGTCAAAGCAAGAAATATGCCAAACATGCAAAATCCTATCTGCAGTAGCAGACCTAGTTATTGAGGATCAGGATGGAAATCTCACTAGCCCCTCCACCCCTTATTATAATAATCACCATATAAAATGTCAACACAAATATACAAATAACATTTATTTAAATAAAAATTAAATATTTGAATTTATTTGGAAAACAAAAGTCTTAAGATTAAGGAAAAAATAATTTACATTAAGCAGATAAATTTATATTAAAAAAGTCTTATTAATCAGCCATTTTTATGATTTAAAAAAAAATGTTAAATTTTCTGTGAAAATAAAAAAAAGCTATAACTGTTTTTAGTGAGTTTTTGACTTCTGAAAATTTGTTTATAGCTTCGTCAAAAATTCATTAATGTTTTTTAGCTACTGTATTTATTTTCAATGCAAAGAACTGCCAAACCATTAAATCTTAGCATATAGTTGATGGAAGATAGCTTTTAATCAACTTCAACTTCGTTAAACTTCTCTAGCAAGGAGCAACTGAAACATACACTGTAAAAAAATCTTAAGCGGCAAATGTAAGTTAGGAACTGATTCTCGCAATACAGACAACTTTTTAGCTTCGTCCTTTTTAACATTAAACAAAATATGTGTAAATCTCTAATAAACAGACTGGATCGCAGTTAAAGTAATAAACAGAGGAGCGTTCTTCCACACAACATTTATTCACGAACACCAAAGACGAACTGATACATATACATAATTGACATCACAGTTTCTTTTTACAAACAAACACTACCGCCATCTATTGGCGATCTATGGATACACAATCCTAAACTTAACACTCCCCCCCATGCATCCGTCTACGGATGCATCAATTTTATTGAACTTCAAGATTATAAAGTCTTTCAATTGGTCTTCTAACAACACCCTTATCCAACTGAATCTCACAAGATCTAATTCTATCATCTCTTCCATGAAATAATTCCTTAATCCTACCTATCTTCCAGTTACAGCGTTTCACATTATCTTCTCGTACAAGTACAACATCATTAATTTTAAACACGGGAGAATTCTTTGGAGTTTTTGAAAACATGACTGATCTTAATTCTAACAAATATTCTTTATAAAACCTTTTCCAAAAATGCTCTAATATTAATTGCCTATGCTTCCATCTTTTAATCAACTGAGATCTTGTAGATTCTAGTTTAGATTCAGGTGAAGGTAAAACAGTCAATCTAGATCCAGTTATAAAATGAGATGGTGAAAGAGGATCAGGTTCATTTGGTTCATTGTATACATACGTTATAGGTCTAGAATTAATAACAGCTTCAACTTCAACTAAAACAGTATACAGTTCTTCATAATATAAAGAAGCTTTACCTAAGATACGTTTTAAACAAGTTTTTACAGATCTTACCAAACGTTCCCAGAATCCGCCCCACCAAGGAGCACCTTCTACAATAAATTTCCATTCAAACCCATTTTTACCAAGGAAATTTAGAACCTTTTCATCTTTACATAATTTATACAAATATTTTAATTCACGATCAGCAGTTTTAAAGGTTTTAGCATTATCAGAATATATAACTCTACAAATACCCCTACGTGCAAAAAAATCTACGTAAGGCTTGAATGAAACACTCTGCACTTAAATTTGATAACAATTCTAAATGGACTCCTCGAGTCACTGCACAGGTAAACAATGAAATATACACTTTTGTACCATCCTTTAAATACAAAGGGCCAGCGAAATCTATGCCACTTACCTCAAATGGTTGAGCTTTCTCCACTCGGTCAGCTGGAAGAGGAGCCGATATCTCGTGTCCAGCTTTAGCATTATATTTTTTTACAAAATCTACAATCATGTAACACAGATTTTACAAAACGTCTAGCTTTTAAAATCCAAAATTTCCCTCTTACTTGCACTAAAGTTTCATTTACACCACTATGAAGTACCTTTTCATGACAATTCAAATAATTAAACGAGAAAAATAATTATTTGGTAATATTATAGGCTGAATTTCATCGACATCTAATGATGATTTCACTAATCTACTTCCAACTCTTAAACAACCCTTTTCATCCATTACTGGATTTAACCCAAACAATTTGGAATTATGAGACAATGGTTTTTTACATTTAACATCATTCAACTCTTCAAAAAAATACTCACCTTGTGATAAGATAATCCAATAACACATAGCATTACATATTTCATTTTTGGTCACAGGACCAATCACTCTATTCTGTGACTTTAAATTATTAATGAATCTAAATACATATGACGTGACTCTTAAAAGTTTACCTAAGTCACTAAAGTTTTCTATTTTTAACACAGGTTGTAAAGGTTGAACACTGCTAGTAACTTGAGTCACAACTCTTTCTTCAACACTATCTACTATGTTACAATGCTCGTTCACTTTAGGCCAATTTATTTCATCTTGATGAAGCCATGGAGGTCCATGCCACCACACTTGATCTACTACAAGATCACTCACTTTAACACCACGT